ACCCAATCTGCGTAGAATCTGTTGAACAGATGTTGGGCTGATCCTAAGAAGTTGGGCCATTTCTGCAGTCGTTAATCTGGGATCCGTTTCGATACTCCTTTTGACAGCACTTTTTGTCCTCTCCGATGGACCAGGACGCTGCTCAGTTGTTTCCTTGCCGTGTTTCCTGAACTGCACGATGATTCTGTTGACTGTCGAAAGCGGGATTCCCAAATTCTGCGAAATTTGCCACTGACTTATTCCACCATCTGCTTGACCAACTATCTTTCCTCTAACAAAATTTGACAATTCGAGAGAACCTTGAGTTCTAGGCATGTTGTAGCACAAGATAATTAGTGTGCGGACCATTTTCATTTATATAGTGCTCTGTGAACACAAATTAGTTAGCATAAATCAGTTATATGACGAAAAATTAGGTGTCTATTTACTTGTGACCACTCAGTGTATTCATATTTTGGAATTACACTTTCTTCATGATGTTTACTGGAGTTAGTCTTGGTTAAAATTTTACGAAGTGTTCTGAACCCTTGCTTTCTGTGTAAGTAGTATTGAAATAAAGAAGTAATTTATTGAAAATTTATTTATTTACACTTGTACGGCTTTACAGTTTTCATTCATATATTCATGAAGTGCTTTTGATAGAATTGAAAGTAATGTTACCGAGTAATAAATGGTTAGGTGTATTTGTGTAAAACGTTTGTTTTTAATTCAAATAGAGGGTTATTAGATCTATACAGTTGCCATTAATAAGAATTTATAACATAAACTTAAATATAGTTTTGTCACCTCCATTATTTATTTTCTTTTACCTTTGACTATAGTTTTTGTATTGTTTACCTTCTAGTGAAAGAACTTGTTACTCTGCATGAAAAATATTTAACAAGACCTACACTTGATGATAGTACTGCTGAGGAACAAGAGATTGAAGTCTTGACACAAGACATTACACGTGTGAGTACTTCAACAATCACTTATGCTATACCATAAGTTCATAAAATTTATTGAATAGTTTTATGTGCTACATAAGCTACATCAACTAATCAAAATTATGTATTCATGTGAAAATTAATTCTTAAAAATATATTTTAAAAGAAAACAAGTTTGATTTATCGATGTAATATTTATAGTAATAAAAATAAACTGGTAAGTTTTTACTCAAAAAGATGTATTTTCAATTTTTAATTTGAATTTTTTAATGCTTTAACAGTTGTTGTTAGTGATAATGATAATAGTATAAATTTTGCTCCTTAAAGTGCTATTTGTTTTTATGATGTCTTCAACTTTTTGAAATTGTTTTGCAGATGTTTACTCACTGTCAACGGTTAGTTCATCAGATTCGTTCACGAAGTCATAGTGCGAGTCTCCAGGAGTCAAGAGTGAACAAAAATGTTGTTATGTCCCTTGTTGGAGCATTACAGGACCTGTCTGTCACCTTTCGATCAGCTCAGGGCTCCTACTTAAAGAGTTAGTCTCACTAATTATTGTGAATCATAGACACATATTATTAACTTTTATAAATTTGTAATCTTTACAACTCTTGTACTTCAGAAACTATCTTAAAAAAGTTAAAATCTACACAATTAAGGTTTTTATCATATTTCTGTACTTAATTCTGTAAACACTTTAAGGAAAATGTCAGACTCAAACAATATCACTTTTAAAGAGCTAGGTAAGCATCATTGAATTAACAAAAAATACTTTAAAATAAAAATTATACATTGTCAGTGTAGCATGTGCTGTTGATATATCTTTCATTCTTTAACTGAATTTATAGTTTATAGTAGGCTTCTATGTTATAAAGAATAATATAAGTTGAGATTATTCTCAGACGTGGGATCTGTACAGTTTAATTCATAATGTGTTAGAGTAGTGATTTTCAACTGGTCGCCCATAATACACAATTATGGACCACCTTGGACAACTATGAATGCCCTAAACTAATGAGTCATCAACTGCATATGCATGCTTTACTCTTGTGTCAAATACCTAAGTAAGCCTTGAGGTGCAAAAGGTTCAAAAACTCTGTGTTAAAGTATTAGGTTAAAGTAATATGTAAATAGTTATCATACAAGCCCATGTTTGAAGGCTTCTTTTTTAAAAAAGTGGTTCACAAAATGTTTGTGTAATCTAATTTATAGAGCATACTCTTACTGTTTGAATTCAAAGGTTTTTGCACAATTTAACTTTTAAGGTGTTTTTCAGGGGTTTTCCTAGTGTGCAGTTGAAAATTCACATATATAAGTAAGTTCAAGTGTATAAATATTTACAAAAAACATATTTAAGATTATAAAATTCCTTTCCAGAGTTACTAAATAAATGTATTTACTAGAATATTCTTCATTTTTTGAATCATTTGTTACTAGGTACTATGAGGTGCAATAGGGTGTCATGTATTAAAAAGTGATAAAATTAAAATAAAGTTGTTTAGTTTAAAAAAATCCGTAGAAAAAGCTCTGGTGTTTTTCTATGGTCTGGCATAAAAGGTGTTGCTTTATAACCTGATTCATGAGGGTGTTTTTGTAGTTTAACATAAAGGTATTGTTTTTACAGTCTGTTTAACAAGGATGCTTGTATAATTTTGCACAGAAAAGGTTGTTTTATAGTATACTTCACAAGGAATTTTAATCCAGTTTAAGTACATGTATTACTTGTACAAAAAAAAGTAAATGACAAAAGGAAAATTTCTGTTTCTAATCCAGAGCTGAAATCAAGAGAAGAACGTTCTGAGCAGTTTTTCACCACTCCCCTTTCACCTGTTAGTGATGGTGGCCTTGCTGACAATTTACATGTGGACCAAATGTTTGAACAAGTATGTGTAAATATATTACTTTTAAATCAGAGTGTTTTAAAATGTTTAAACTCTGAGAACTAGGCTTCAAAAATTAAATTTCTCTTCCTGTTTTATAAATGAAACATCCTTTCTATGCAGTTTAATATCTGCAATTGTTAGTTTTAAAAGTAAGTTTACTTTTATTAAACACGAGACTGACTTAAAATGTTTGCACATTTTAAAATTAATTCAAGTATCACATGAAAATTGTGCATTTGAACATTAACTACAGTGACCTTGTAATGTAGATGATGCTAACACAATGGAGTTATCAGCTTGTGTGCTAGGTATGTTAGAAAGAAATGCTTCTGTTTGTTAAAGTATGTAGGGTTACAATAAGAAAGAGAACCTTAAAAGACTAAGGTTTCTTTTCTTTGTTAGCACACACACCTCCTTTCATAATTTTTTGTGTAGTAACAGTATTTCATAGTTTGGAAAAAATGACCATTATATCTTTTAAAAAAAGTTTGAGACGTACATGTAAACTTGAGTATTTTTTTGTCAAGAAAAGAAGCTTAACATTATGTCACATTTTAAGCTCGCCATAATTATTTAATAGGTATTAAGAAAATTATAAGATTCATGAATGAAATCTAAGATGGCACAAGTCTAAAATATGCTACAAGTACATAGGAGAATAAACTTCATCACTTTTCTGTAGCCTACTGTTTTTATGTTCAAACAGCTACCAGAATTAGTTTGTTCTTGTTAAATCTTTCGGCACGGGGTCGGTCGATTTGACCAAGTCACGTGACCTTCTGTACTAGTTTAAAGTGGACATCAGTTTAATACTTATAACTCTCTATATATTGGGTATATCTTCACAAAATTTGGCAGTCTTTCAGTTAATATTACAAGTCTTTCACATAC